TGTGTGTGTGTGTGTGTGTGTGTGTGTGTGTGTGTGTGTGTGTGTGTATGTGTATGTTGGAGGTGACATATATGTCATGGGTGTGTGGAGGTCAGAGGACAGGCATTGTGGAGATGGTTATTTCCTGCACCTTTAGGCTGGTACTGAGGATAAAATCAGGTTGTCAGGTTTGCGTAGGAAGCTCCTTACCTGCTGCACTATCTTGCAGGCTATTAAAGACATTTTAAACCATATTATCTACATATTTGTGAGTAATTGGTGCCCCAAACCTTAGCTTTATTATTAGATCATGTAGTGAGAGGCATAGGAAAAACATGTTAACATTTACATTTATTTATGGAAAATTCAATGAAATTCATCAAAGAGTCAAACTTAGGAGAAATGATGTTTGCCTAACATTTCACGCACATCATACATTTTTACTCTCAGGGACAACTTCCCAATCAATAGATTTATACTTCTGGTGAGTTTGGCATTTAGGATGTAGAATTTTATGATTGAGATATTGCCCCTAATTCTTCTTAAGAAGGTTCAGAGTTGACCCAAGTTTCCTTTTGTGCTCAAGCATTCAGACCTGCATGGCCATTCCCTACTGAAGTTAGAAATCAACACACTGATCCCTAGGAAGGAGCTGTCTGTCATGTCACAAAGCTTCACATTAAAAATTCTTTCTCTCTTATAAAAGGAGAAAGAGGAAGATTTGGAATGTGGGGAGGGAGAGAGGAGAGGGGATTGTGAAGAAGATGGAAGAAGGAGGTTTTTTTATTTTTGAAGAATTCTGAGTGTGTAAAAGACTACACAGCAGATTCCTTTACTCACAGAGAAAACACATCAAAATGATCAGTGTATATCTGAGACAAAAGACAGTCCCATTTCATAACCAGGATGGTTGGGAAGATACACGGATAGGTGATTATACACTTTGAATTCCCTGGATAAAGAGATGATTCACATCCTAGAAAGAATAAAGGGGGTGGCAAAATTGCATCCTATCACTCAGAATAGTTGAATACAGTGGAGTTTTCTAGAATTTTCTATGGAATGTTTTATGATTTGGGTTGATGATAGGTCACCAAAACTATAGAAAGTGATCCTTGGCTAAATGGGACCTACTGTTGTGTTGTTTTCAGTGATATATGCTATGTATCTGTTTCAGTGGTGATAGATTTTAATTTAGATATTAATGGCCTCTTTTGGGGGGAGATGGATAGAAAGATAAGAGGAATCACAGAACCTAGGTCCCAGGATACATAATCACCAAGTTGTGAAATTACAGAAGTAGCTTCTAGTGCTTTATTGAGGCCATATTTGTTTAAGTATATCACTTAAATGTTTATGGATATGACATTCTTTTACGTGTGTGGGTGCATTTGTGATTGATGGAAAATTTAAAGAACCCATTGTCAGTCCCAAATGCCCACAAGCCCACGTCCAACTACCATCAAACTTGGAATTCTGGTGGCATTGGCAGTTTTAATTAACTTCTGCTTTAATTTGTCTCTTGGGTTTCTCCTGGATTTTCTTTTCCAGTACAATTATGCAGAGGAGAAGGTCGCTGAAATTCAGAAGAACAGCAGCCTCAAAATAATTAGCAAGACAGTGCAAGATGCCAGACTTAAGCTCACACTTCCTGACACTCAATTTTTCCAGTTTTCTATAGTAGTAGCTCAAGTAGCTACACAGATATCAACCTCAATTCTGAGAAAACAATAGTTTAAATAATGATCAGTTCTCAGAAGTTAGTTGAATTTGCTTTGCCTTTTGGAAACTCTTTAGGAATAACAACATTTGCTATTACTTTTAAACCTCCGGTCACCTGCTACAAATGATGGGGACATGTATGGAGGTTTGTAAGCTCTGGTATCACCATTGTGTTCATGAAAATATATATATTGCAGAGCATTTGCTATGTTTTTTATACTATCTTACATGGAAAAACACTGGGCCACAGATAAGTTTGGAAACTCCCTAAATGGGTTTGAGATGAACAGGGTTAGGATGAGAGTCATGTTGTCCACCCTCAGAGTTCAATCTTCAAGACTGAGCTATACCATTTGATGCATGGCTGTGTGGGATGCATATGTACAAAGTGAACCCAAGTATTACAAATGTGAAAAAAAAAACTTCCTTGCATCAAACTAGTCTTGTCTCCTGAGTCCATGTCCTCATTTTTAAAAAGAGAGAAAAAAGCTTTTACTCTGTCTACTTCATAGTACTATATGGGTCAGTACTCTCTGTAGAGGATTTCTGGTTCATATCACACATTTAAGTTTCTACAAAAATAAACTTCAAACAAGTGAATTGTTTGTTATTAAGTAAAATCCTTTCACATTTTATGCAAAATCATCCCAGCAAAGTTTTAGCCATGTAGCACCACTAGAAGACAGTATTTAAAACAGTCAAACTAGTAAAGAAATACCTATCTTGGGGAACAATTAAGAACCTGGGGCTAGACAGAAGAGATTTTGAAGCCCAGTTCTTTGATAAAGTAGGTATGTTCAGAAAGGAATTTATTCTTCATGAATGATAATTTTCCTAAACATAAAGAGGGCCATGGTTAAGATTTATTTACATATTTCATTCAACAGCTAATTGTAAAGGTCTTGCTACATGTCTGATCCTGTGTAGGCAGGCTAGAGGACACAAGAATAAATGAAATAGTCTGTTCCTATGCAACTTAGCTTAGTTAGGCTTCAATAAATAAAGGCAGCTACAGAAATAAAACCATGTCTAAGTTGCCTGACATGAATTAAATGCTTAGAGACACAAAACTTGTATAGACATAAAACTTTGTTCTGAGAATAAAATATGATTATATTTCATTATAAACATGCTTGAAATTTATAAAATAATAAAGAAAACACCTTCCAAGGAAAACATATTTGAAATATGCAGAATCTACTTATTTAGAGATCAAGAAAAAAAAAACAAGTGATGGCTCATGCTAGAGAGCATATGGAGTAAGGGGAACACTCACTCCTCCAATGCTGGTGGGGGTATAAACTTGTACGGCTACTATAGAAATCAGTATGGCGGTTCTTCAGGAAGATGGGGGCCATCTGTCTCAAGGTCTAGCTATACCACTCTTGGGGACATATAACTAAAGAATGCCTCTTTCTACTACAGAGACACATTTTCAACCACTTTCATTGCTGCTCTACTCAAAATAGCCAGAAGTTGGAAACATCCTAGATGTCTCTCAATAGAAAAATGGATAACAAAACTGTGGTACATTTACATAATTGAGTATTACTCAGCTATTAAAAAATAACATAATGAAATTTGCACTCAAATGAGTAGAACTAGAAAAAATCATCCTGAGTGAGTTAACCCAGGCCCATAAAGACAAATATGGTATGTATTCATTTATGTAGATATTAGTCAATGATAATCTACAATCCATAAAACCACAGAGAGTGGATATAGAGTAAGGAACTAGAGGCAACATATAGATCTTGTTAGGAAACGGAAATAGAATAGGTAAAGAAAAGAAGAAAACAAGAATGGAGATAACAAATAGAGGGAGATATTTTAGGTCTACAGACAAATCAGGCACTAGGGAAATGTCTGGAGATCTACAAAGATGACACCAGCTAACAATCTAAGCAACAGAGTAGAGGCTACCTTAAATGTCCTCTCCTGATAATGAGATTTGTGACTGACTTATATGCCATCCTATAGCCTTCATCCAGCAGCTGGTGGAAGTAGATTCAGACACCCACAACTAATCACTGAAGTGAACTGGAATCCAGTTGCAGAGAAGGATGAGTGATGAGGAAAGGGGTCCAGACCAAGCTGGTGAAACCCACAGAAACAGCTGACCTGAACATCGGGGAGCTCTTGGTCCCCAGACTGATAGCTGGGATACCAGCATGGGACTGATCCAGACCCCAAGAACATGGGTTTTGGGGAGGAAACCTCAGAAATCTACGGGACCTACTGTAGTAGTTCAGTACTTATCCCTAGCATAGGTGTGGACTTTGGGAGCCCATTCCACTTAGAGGGATACATGGTGGTGGTAGGCCTAGGCCCTATCAGAAAGGACACGATAGACTCTGATGACACCCTATGAAAGGCCTCACCCTCCAGGGGAAGGAGAAAAGATACGTGATAGGTAGGGTTTTAGTTGAAGGAGATGGTGGTAGGGGAGGAGGGGAGGGAGAGGGAACTGGGATTGACATGTAAAACAATCTTGTTTCTAATTCAAGTAAAAAAAATCTGAAAAAAGAATAGGTAATGCTGGATGAATGGGTGAGGGGCTGGAAGGGGAGGCTCACAAGTGGAGGGGAAACGGTGTTGAGGGAGGAAATATGGTGAGAGACAGCTAGAGTTAAGGGACTTTTGAGGGGTAGTGTGGAAAACTAATACATCAGAAACTTCTTGAAGATGATATAAATGAAGCTGTCAAATAATTGGGGAGACAGTCCCAACTGAACATCTCTTCTCACCAAATGAAGTTTCCAGTACCAGGATTGGGTTACATCTAATTAAGTTTTTGACAAACGTATTGCAATGGGAATCCCCAAATAACACAGGCCCTTGCCAAGACAATAGATTATTCTCTGCAAACTTACAGGAGGAACCCATTGTTGAAGACAACTAACTGAAAATGATACAACTAACTGAAAATAGAGATGTCAAGCTGATGCTTACTTTTGCCTTTACCTCTATATTTCTGTATCCTTGGTACAGGAAGGTACTCTGCGTGCTAACAAAAGAGAAATGTAAACATCAAGCCAAGCACAAACCTTTGATCTACAGTGTTGTTATGCCTGAAAGATATACTAAGAAATAATGTCACAAAGCTTGTGGGAAGTAACCAACCAATGTCTGATTTGACTTAATGGTCACTCCATTAGATGTAACCCATACTCAACACTGTTTGGGTGACAAAGAACCAGAGACTAGATAGCCCAGAAACCTAGAGTAAAACAAGATTCTGCTCTAAAATAAAAATAAAACCACAAAACATAGTATTACAATAATTCCTAATGATATTATGCTGTACTCTGATTCAGCCATAATCAGAAAAACTTCCACCTTCAGAGGGCAACAAATACAGAGACCTACTACAACCAGGCATTATCCAGAGTGAGAGAGACCTTGGGACACTCAGTCCTGAATGGGATGTCTCCATCAAATTCCTCCCCTTAGAGCTCAGAGAACCCCAAGGAGGAGGAGGCAGAAAGTGTGTAAGAGTCAGAGGAGATGGAGGCTACCAAGAAAGCAAGGCCCTCTAAAAATCAGTATGATCAAAGCTCATATGACCTCACAGAGACTAAAGCAGCATGCACAAATCATGCTCATATCTGCCCCAGGTACTCTGCATATACATTATGTCTTCTAGGTTAGTGCTTTCCAAGTGTGTGGATGAGTGCCTTCCTTCTCTTGGGCGTTTTTTTCCTTCTGTTTGTTTTGTCTAACTTCATGTGATGGTTTTAATTTTATTTCATTATATTTCATTTGTTATATTTTATTATTATCTCTTAGAGACAGAAAAGGAGTGGATCTTAATGGGAAGGCAAGTGGGAGAGGAGCTAGGAGGAATTGAGAAGGGGAAAGTACAGCAAGGATATAGTATATGAAAAAAGAATATAACTTCAATGAAAGGAAAAAATAGTGCCCTCTTTCTTTCCTGTGGTTTCACTTACTTTTAGTTATCATATTTAGGTGAAATATGTTAAAAAGAAGATTTCAGAGTTTTCAAGTTGGGCATAATGATGGAATATGCTGCTGCTCTTCTCCATCCTGTCTTTAACCCAAATTACTGCTTCATCCATTGCATCTATCCATTGTATCTACACTACCTTCTGTCCACTTACTTAGCAGACATCCTGGTAGTCATCACTACTCTCCTAGCTTTACATTGCTTGCAGATACTGCTCATATTATCCATTTTTCAGGCCTCCACTTGAGGAAAAGTCTTAGGATATGCACCCTGAAGATAATAAGGTGCTACTATACTTTACTATGGACTCAAATTCTCACAGAAAACAGTAACTTGGCCTTGAAAAATACCTTATTCCCAATCCTTATATGCCCTTGGACCCTGAAGCTGTACTTACATTTTTGTTTTTCTCTTGACTGGGTTCTTCTGGAGAAAGTTCCCCAATGAGCAGTGGCTTAAGGTACAGCTGCACAATGCTGAGATCCAGGTGCATGGCCCGGAAGGCATCCTGGAAAGCAGAGATGCTTGTTAGAAGCTTGCAAGAGATGCATTTATTCTCAGATCTGTTACTTCCTTGCCCAGCTGGGCCCAAACTGGCAACAGCACAGATCCTGCCATAGAGCATTCTAAGCCGATTCATCAACTTTATTCTTGAGACCTTCTTATAAGAGGATAAGGCTGGGAACCCACCCAGGGCAGGCACTGTTTGTCTAGGGACAGACAATTCCTTGGGCATTGATTACATCACTGCTTTTTTTCTTAAGCTCTGGAAGGAAACTTTGCTTGTGTTAATTCGCTATGGAGATCTTGGAAGTTCAGTATCAGGATTCATGTGAAAGTTTCTTAAACTAAGGCATGCAGTAAACAAGACTGTCTACACAAATTGCATTTTCTTTTGAGGGCTCCCTTTTGGCTCTTGACTAAGGCTCAGAAGAATGAGGCCTCTTCTACTAGTTATTCCAGACAACAGTAGATTAAATTTCATAGCAACACATTAAAATAAGGACACAAATGATTGGGGGGCTACAGTCCTTGAGCCCTGGGCTTCCTGAAATAGCATACTCTCATCTGTGTTCAGCATTGAAGGACTCTCAAAACTCCATAGAAATAATGTTGCTAAGTAGTAATTCTACATCACTATGGGAAGCAGTGGAGTTCCTATGTCAGGAAGTAAAAGAATTTTTCCTCCCAAGTATTTTTATGGTTTCTTTTTGGGGCAAGATGGAGATGATTAGATTCTTGATATTATGGCACTGAGGTTGTAGGGATTTAAACTAAAGAAATATAGACAAAGTTGAACCTAGACTATATGGATGGGATAGAGATACTCTAGAGCAGTGGCTGTTGGACAGTACAAGTCACAACCCTTCTACAGCCCAGTTCTGGTTTTGCTGTTTATAGGCTGTGCATCTGTGAACCTTACGAATTGTCACCTTATATATATTTTTATATGCCCTTCCCTAAATGGTAGTGATAGTTGCCACTCAATTCATAAGTTGTTACGAAGTGTGGGTGAATTAATTAGGATGCTGATTGGCATATACTAACTATACAGGACTTCTGTTGTTGTTTTTCTTTTTTTAAAAAAATCTTTTTTTAAAAAAAATTTACATTCCAATCCCAGGTCCCCCTTTCTATTCTCCTCCCACTCTCCCACCTTCCCCACCCCACCCCCACTCACTCCACAGAGAGGGTGAGGCCTCCCATTGGGACTCAACAATGTCTGTGGAGACAGGCCCAAGGCCCTCCCCCTGTATCTAGGTTCTGCAAGGTATCCCTTCATAGGGAATGAGCTCCAAAAAGCCTGTTTTTCAATAAAGGGTTTTTTGGCTGTCCCAGAACTCACTCTGTAGACAGGACTGGCCTCAAACTCACAGAGTTTGATGTTTGATGTTTCTGAGGAGGTTAGAATGGGAAAGCATATTGGTGGGTCAATTTTCAGAGTTCAGAAGAATATAATACAATTTCAGAAATATAGCACACATTATAAGAATGTAACCTAGCACAATTTCAACCCGTGTTGACAATCTGCTCTTCTGTGTCCCTTGTTACATTTGAACCTGAGGGATGATCAGAAATCTGCACTCTGGGAACAGATACTGAGAAGCCACAAAGTTTCATAGAACAGTAAGCATGCTGATTTGCAGAGTTCTTTTCATTGTATAGTTAAGGAAGTATAACAAAGGAGTTTATTTAATCTTAAAATACTCAATGCTTTTCTAATAGAATCCATATACTAAGTTGTGAAATGCCTACTTGGAAGCTCGCAAAAACAGGTTCTGTTACCCACATTCCTGGGCAAGTATGTTCTCGCTGAAAGAGGTGGAGTAAAATGAAGGGAGAAGGGGAAAGTGCCAGTATTTACAGAATTCACCCTATGTACAAGGAGTACCAGCTCATAGCTACCAGCTCACTCCTGTGAGGATTTATTGCTTATATTGTACAGAGAGACATCAAGCTTTTTAGGAATATGGGATAGAAATCTTTCCTCCACAGACCATATGGAGTAGCTAAGCTAATGTTTGAACTGGGGGCTAAATATAGTGATAACACCCTAAATATCCACCCCAGACTTCAACATCTATAACCCATTTCCTGAAAGATGTGCTGCTAGATCACTTTGTGATGATACTAAAATCTGTATCTTCTCGACAGGTGGTGACGGAGTCTCCTAGGTGTTAGCCTCATGAAGCACTTTGTCTCTAACTCCATCTTGCCTCCTCAGGCTGAAACTTCATAGACCATATTGTTGACTAGAGCCTTGTATTAAATAAAATTCTTTTCCCTTTTAGAGTTCTGAAGATTTACAGATTTTATACTTTTCCCTTCAATTCCTTCTTTCATTTTTCTTTACACAAAGGTCTTTTTTATAATTTTATACCAATATTAGATATTGTCACCCCTTGCACATGCAGGAAAGTTACTCATGAGTACTCTGCAAGCTCATAACAGTTAGTTCATTTCTTAAAGAAAATACATATTTACCTATTTGTGTGTGTGTGTGTGTGTGTGTGTGTGTGTGTGTGTGTGTATGCACATAGGTGTTAGAGAACAACTTGTGGGAATCAGTTCTCGATTGCACCATGTGGTTCATTACAGGGGTCAAACCCATGACATCAGAGTTGGTATCAACTGTCTTTACCCATGGAGCTGCTCATTGACTCTAAAGCTCTTCTTTATACTGTAATGAAACTGTAAACTTGCTGTTTCTTTGGTGTGTTTTGGAAACTGAGACTTTGTACTAGGCCTCAGTTAATGTAGCCCTAACATTTACCACTGTGCCTGAAATGCAACATGTAGTGAATACACCCCTGATGAGTAAGGGAAAGATGAGAAAGAGGTAGGCAGCACAGTTCTGCGTGAGGAGTCGGGATGATTGAAGCATGAATAATTTGCTGCTCCCATTTTCCTTATACTCTATTTTACTCCCTTCTCAATCATCACTCTGCTCTTCAAGATCACTATGAATTGCGTAACATTGCAGCTCATCCAGAAACTGATTATTCCCAAAAATCATATCAACAAGACATGAATATTGAATATTACTTTATGTTTCCAAGTGCTTTGGGAGATGCTGGCTATTCTTTCCTGGGTCTGTGGTTGTTTATTGCTTTATTAAAAAAGCAATAGAATTCCCCATGGAAAAGAGAACAGAAAAAGTATGTAAAATCAGAAAGCCTCAGCCAAAATTCTGATATTTTTTAGTTTAAATACTGTTGTATAGATTATAACCTGAAAAAAAGCCACCAGGCTAAGATGGGAAGGTGGCTTGAAATACAGCAAGTATTTGCCAAATCTGTTGTCTAAGGAACTGCAGCCACCCAGAGACAACCTGTTTCCTAACTCCTAGCACAGACAATGGATGGCAGCAGAGGGGTGGCTGCTTCATGGTAGGAAAGCTACTTAAATTTTACTATTTTGTCATCATCATTATTGTTGTTGTTTGTGTGTGTATGTGTGTGCATGCACATGTGTATGATGGCATATATGTGAAAGCCACAGGACAGCATTTGTAAGTCAGTACTTTCTCCTTTTAACTTGTAGAATCAGGCTTGGTGCCTTTGCTGACCAGGCCTCCTCTCAGCCAAGCTTCAGTCTTTATGTAAAAACACACAAACTCCCCATGTGCTCACTGTTTCATTATTTAATCAGGTGTTATACAATCTATGCAGGATCTAACCTGGTGACTCAGAGCTTAGTCTTTGCAATCAGATATCAATAAATTATTAATCAGTATTATTTACACAGTTAATGTTAGGTCTCAAACTTTTGACAAACAGATAAAACTTAACAGTCTGATAAGTGTTGAAATTTCCCAAAAGATGTTGATTAAGAGACAAGCATAGACTCATAAAACACCAGTGAAATGTTTCTTTTCCCACATAGTAGCTCACAGATTTATTAGCAAACCTAGAACTTAGGAAAAGGAGGCAAGAGGCCATTGTTGGCTAACTAGTGAGTTCCAGGCAGCCTGGGGTACATGAGTTCTTGTTTCTAAAAAAGAAAAGAAATCTCAAGCTTGCATTCCCTTGGGTAATTCCCCGTCTCCTCTTCTGCTTCCTTTTCAGAACTTGTGTGTTCCAAAGCTGTGGCTTGCACAAGCCTGATATCCGAAACAGAGGAAGAGTTGTAAATAGGTTGAGTTATGGGGAGAACACATCTTTGCCCTTGCCTTGGGAGAGAGCTGCAACCTGGGAGGGTGAGGTGTCAGGTGGTGGTGTCTCCACAGGAGTTCCTAGTGTCACCAGAAGGCCTTCATTTATAATAACTGTGCTTTCTTCTGAGCTCCAGCCTTTTCTCCCTGTCTCCCTCCCTCTTTTTCTCCCTTCCTCACTCTCCTTCCATACTTTCATTCTTCATCTACCTCCTAAATGTATATACTCTTCTGATGCTTTCATCCCATAATGGGCACCTAGGTGCCTTAGTGAGGTACCCACATCAATTAGATGTGCATTCTGCTTGCTTATTCAGCTATCCATCAAATATTAAATTAAATCTCCTCAACGTTCTTCCCACTCATCTTTCTTTTCAATCTTGTTGTTCATGCTCTATTTGGACTTTCAACATATTTCTGGACTCCATCATGGTCTCCTTCCTTTTTACTTTCTTTTCTTAATTCCTCACTTGATTGCCAGGCTGACCTTTCAGAGTGACATTTATCTTTTCATGGTCCATTCTCTTTCTTTGTGTTTTTGTAATTAATTTTTTACTAGCAGATGTTAATTATACATACTAATTGGTTTCATTATGTTTTTCATATACATACATTTTCCATATGTTATTATGAATATGTGATATTTATTGTATTAATTCCTTGTTCTCCTTCCACTTTGGATGCCCTTCTCTTCCCTCCTCTCTCTCTCTCTCTCTCTCTCTCTCTCTCTCTCTCTCTCTCTCTTCTCTTTCATTTGATGAGTTAATGAATTTCATTAGGGTTATTTGTAGGATCCTGAGTGAGGGATTATTTAAGGCAACCCCAATTCCTTAAATTCCTTACCAATAACTATATAACTGAAGAAAATACCTCTCTCTACCTCTGGGACCATTAACTGCCTTGATATACTCAGGAAGGGTGAGACCACATATGCCCCTTCCTCTTACCTGAACTCTTTTCTGTTTGTCTTTTCTGTTTGTCTTTCTCAGACAGCAATTAATCCTGCATTTTTGGCCGGTGTTATGCTAAGTAGAGGAAGTGATGCCCATGTTGCTTGGGTACTTGCTCATGACTAGTCACATGGGTACAATCTGTCTGCTTACACCCTTTCTTCCCTTTGCCCTAGCCTTGCCTCCGTCAGCTCAGCTCATTCCAACCCACTTGGCTTCCTTTTGCAGTTGTATGTGGTGCCTTTTCTCCCTAGGAGGCCTCCAAATAGTTGAAGAGGACTGTGCCATATTTCCTGTAAGCTTTTATTATCTCTTTCTTATATAATAAAAGACTTGACTGTATGTGTTATGTATGTGTGTGGTGCTTTCTTGTGAGTGTGCGTTGTGTGTGTGTGTGTGTGTGTGTGTGTGTGTGTGTGTGTGTAGAGGCTAGAGGTTGAAGTCAGGTGTTTTCTTCAGTCACTTTGCACTTTATCCTTGGTGATGGTGTCTCCCTGGATAGTGTCATTCCATGGCCTGCAGCTCATTAACTCATCTAGGCTGGCTGGCCAGAAGCACTGTTCAGGAGTCTGCCTGTCTCTGCCTCTCCAGCTCTGGGACTACAGGTACATGTTTCAGTGCCCAGCATTGTAAGTGAGGGCTGGAGATTCAAACCCAAGCCCTGTTGTTTGGACCTTAAGCACTTTATTGACCGAGCCATCTCTCTAGTCCTGTCATCGCTTCTTCTAAGGTGTGATGTTGAGAGATGAGCAGATGGACCTGCGCTTACTTTCTTTATTCCAAACACTGAAGCCTCTGTGTAATCAGTTCTTCCTGTTGAAGCTGCTACTTACTGACTTTTCCTCAATAAACTCACTTGCATGGAAAATCCTGAGCCCCAAACTCTGCTAATTGGCCCTGTTATATAAGCTTGAAATTATATTGCTTGTAAACAACCAGATAACTGAAGCATGCATTAGCAGAGACTTACGTGTCAATTTTGTTTCATGAGTTTATTAAACTACTGTGGAGAGCATTAAAATCTATCTCAGAAGAATGAAGCGATGATAAAATACAAATGTTCTCACTTGTTGAATATTTAATCTCTGCTGAGCAACATAGGGTAGTCTATTTGACCCCCACTGATTTTTATAATAAAATCAAGATTAAAGTATTATTATCTCTTTTTATCATAAATTGAGACTTGAAGAACTTAAACTGTCTCCCCAAGACCCATTCCCCCCATAATAAGTGTGGATACACAATGGCCACTCTGAGCCTATTCCATTCTGAAAACTACAGTTTTAAACATTAGGTCACATTCCTAACAAAGCTTTAGAAAAATGAATAAGTGCTTTAATGACCCCATGGTACTATAGCCATTGCTTAGGTACTCTTATTCACCTTTTAGGAGGCCTAGAAAAGAGTTTCTATGTAAGTAAGAGAAGGTTGCCCTGTCTGTGTCAGTGCAGCCATGGGTCTAGTATCTATAATGTAGTGATTACCCTGCAGTCCCCAGTTGTCAGTCAGGAAAATTGTGCTAATACCTTCTAAGATATAAAGTAAGCATTTGGCTTGGGCATTTGGGCTTGGTGTTCTGTTACTAATTAAAAGGCACAAACCATAATCATAATTTCTATGCTGATAGTAAAGTAACTGAAAATAACAATCACCTATGAGGATGTGGATGCTAAACTTTGTTGAATGTTAATGTCTTCAATAACATGAGATACTTTGATGAATTCATTCCATTTACCATAGATCAGGCAGGTGGGAAATGCTATTTCTGTTTTGTAGATCATGGAGATGAAACTCTGGGCATTTCAGTAATTTCCCTAAATCCATACAGCCCATCCCAGTGTGTGTTTGTAGCCAAGAAGAATTAGAATTACCCTGCCTTTCCTATATCTTTCCTATTATTCTTGAGCGACCTTTATTTGGAGAACCTTTCATTTGAATGCTTTTGGGTTCATTTTCCTAAAGTATGTGGTTGATCAAGTATATGCTTTTCTTCCCTGATATGTCCCAATACTAAGGTGGCCTGGGCATGACGGGCAGTTTCTATAATATAGCTATCCTTCTCACTGGCTAGGACTGGAAGCAAAAGCCATTATTTCCTGGCTTCTGGGGAGTTAAAAATCTTTAGCAAACTTCAGGTCTATCACCTGGGTTATACAAAACTCAGTGAGATTGTTAGCAATTTTCAATGTGATTGAAAGCTCAAGTCCTTGCCAATACATCTTTAAGCCAATTCTATGATTTAGGGTAGAAAACCCTGACCAAGGTCAAGCATGATTGTATATGCCTGTAATTCCATCATTTAGGAGGTGGAGGTCAAGAGTTCAAGGCCAGCTTGGGACATATGAGGCCTTGTTTCAAACAAAGTCGTCTACTTTCTCTGAACTATAGGAATGAGGGGATAGGCTAGCTAGGGACCTGTGGCTATTTTATTTTTATTTATTAATATTATTAGTTTTTTGTGATTTGAAATTTGTTAATTGTCTTCTCTTATTCTCATACATACTGCTTTCCTTTGCTTCTTCTCCACTTGGTGTCTAGATCTCTGCCCTAGTGTGCTTTTCTGACATCTAGGATGGCCCCTCCCTTGTTTCTAAGGAAAGACTGAACATTGTTTAAAAACCTCCTCAGAACCAAAGCCAGGTAGATGTGACAGGTCCTGAATGGACATATGCTCATTGGACTTAACACGAAGCCAGTAAGATGACACAAGAACAAGAACTAGATAGTGAAGAGGGATGAAAAAGTTGGGAAAGATGTTCATGACATGAAAATCTGACTTCACAAATCAGGTGTCTGCCATGTCCCATTTTCTAGAACATGCCATTTGCAGATAGGTGTCTTCACTCCTATGTGTAGAAACCATTTGGAGAACTTCTTTACCTGTGTGTGAAATGAATGGACACAAAAATGTCTAGTCTCAGCTTAAATTCCTGTTCTGTCTTACACTGCCTGACCTTGGGCTTATTAGGGACTCCAGCTCTTTGTCTGTACTGTGATAGAAAATAACACTTCCAGAAAATAGCACGTCATGCACTGAATATTTACAAAGGGATTTTTAAAGTTAGGATTTTGCAAACTAAGTAACTTTGGCTGGCTTGGAACTCCTTGTTTAGACCTCATTGACCTTGAACTCACAGAGATATGCCTGCCTCTGCCTCTGCCTCTAGAGTGTATGCCTCACCACATCCAGATTAAAAAAATCATTGAACGCACAGAAAGAATCTGGCAGACTTCCTTATCAAACATTGAATGAAATTTAAAGTGTTTTCTTATTAGCATGACTTATGTATTGTGTGTGTGTGTGTGTGTGTGTGTGTGTGTGTGTGTGGGCACATGCATGTGGAGGTCAGAGAACAACTTGCTGGAGTTGTTTCTCACCTACTAGGTAGTTCCTGGAGGTTGAACTCAGATTCTCCAGCTTGGTGGAAAGTCTCTTTATCTGCTGAGTTATTTGCTGGCTCTAACTTTTATTTTTATTTTTTTAAGGAACCATATATACAGGACTTTATGGTGAAAACAAAACAATTTGAAGCTTAGCATTGTCACTATCAATACCTGCTGTGCACATGGCTTACCTCTGAGTATCAAGTACATCATCTGTGTTGTGGGAATAACATGCACACCCCTGGCAAGACTACCTAAGGTGGTGCATTTGAAAGCATCTGTAAGTGGGAATTGCATCATCACTCTTGTCAAACTGCTTGAGCTACGCTATGCAAAAGAGAACTGTGAACTCTCCAAGTCCAGACAGTTCTTGGCTTTCAGTATTATTAACAATGTTTGATTCCCAAGAGACGAATTGCTTTTTGTAAATCCCTGTTAAGTCAATGACATGCCTCCCTCCAGATTTTACTCATCTATTCTATAACTTGTTATTTTTAAGACAGTTATTCCACTTCAAGAAGAAGCAAAAGAAAACATCAAAGGGGGAGGAAGACAAAATCCAGAATGCAAAAACACAATCTCCATCACAACAATTGAATGTATCACATATTGGGCAACAGCTAGAACCTGAAACCCCATTTTGCTTTCAGATTCTTGTTAGATAGGAATCCTGAAAAATTGGTTTAAGAGAAAATAGTGACTGTGGAGTCCAGGCACGTATTTCAGTGGTTTTGGGATGAGAGCCAAGATCTCAGCTACTCAGCAGCAGGGAGAGGGACAGAGAGAGAAGAGAACAGAGGAGAGACACAGAGAGAGAAAGAGAGGGGGGGCACATGGATGTTCTTACCGTGGCATCTTCCCCAGCATAGTGGTTGAGGACCCGATGCCCACCTGGATGTTTGCTTGCCCAGTCAGTCACATTGTAAACCTTGCGATCAATCACCAACCACTGGTCGGCCTCCTTATTGTGTCTCTGGATCTCCTGCCAGGTGTACAGGTTGAGACATTTCTTGAGCATGTCGCCCTTGCCATTTGCCTCCTGCTTTTCATAGACCTCCGCTTTCCCATTTGCTCTCGGTTTCCCATTTGCCTGAAGCGTGTCATGTACACATGACTGACTCCTTCCAACAAGGCTCTCACTGTGCTCAAGCTTTTCCTCCAACTTCATCGTCCCTGAATCCCCAAGACGATCTAGGTTGACGCCTGAATTTCCTAGTTCTATAATTGGGCCATAAAGTAACTCCTTTCCTCCTGTGTCATTACTCTGCAGTCCTGATGCCTACACAGAAAGCCCTTTGGGCTAAATTGTCTCTTCAGAGCCTGATAGTGAGCACCTGGCCTGTCTGGCTCTGTTTTGGTCTGTAGTTAATCTTTTCTGCACTGAGGACAGCTAGCTCACATTTCTCTAGTCACCTCTCTCCGCTGGCTGTTCTCTTAGCAGCATCCTCCTTCATCATTAAATGTCCCAGAGTACAAAGCTCGAGCCAATCGCAGGCTGGATGGATTAGAGGCCACACCCAGTGGGAGGCGGGGCTAAGCTCTGGTCTCTGATCTTTCAGTGACATCAGTGTGGGTTGGGTTTACCTGTTCTTTGGGATACCTCCAAATACCGACCTTTAGATTTGTAAATTCAACATGTGAACAAAAGCTTTCAGAATTTCCTGGATGATTGGAATCGTTGTTGCTTGGATTAGGTAAATGTTCGTTGGACAGCTGTTATCTCACCCAAGTGCTTTCAAATACGTTTAAACCAACCCTCCTCGTGTGTGTGTGTGTGTGTGTGTGTGTGTGTGTGTGTGCGTGTGTGTGTGTGTTTTTTTCAAAAGCCGGGGAAAGTCTAAGTAAACGATGTAAATAATTTCCCCACTTCACTCCACTCCCCTTAAAATCTTTCTAAATCTATAAACACTTCTAAAGGCCACATGAGTGACACATGGTGATTTAGAGTCCATGTCACCTGTTTCATCTCCTAATCCTCTCATCCAAGTCTTTCCGGTGAGGCTTGTTAGTGCCCCATTTTCCAGCTTAGAAAACAAAGGGCACAGAGTCCATTTAATATCACCATACCACAGCCACTCCATGAAAAGTAAACTGGAGGAAGCCAGATGTGTCCACCTTTAACTCCCTGTCTTTTTTCTCTGCCCACATCTGGGTTCTAGAGTTGCAGCAACTAAATGAGATAGTTGGGAAACACAGCAAAAGATGAGATTCCCAGGTGATGGTGAGAGGCTTCTGAATTTTGAGAAAAGAAATATAGCAAAAGCTCACATTTGGTTAACAGAACTGAATCTTCAACACAATTCAAAACTGTTACGAAAGGGATTTATCTTGCGGATATGTGCAACTGTTAGAAGTGGTCTCAAAACTCAGCTCTATGGAAGAAGAATGATGCATCTGTTTTGTGTGTTGAATAAGATGTTAATAATTTAAAACAAAAACTTCATGGAAATTTTGCTGGTAGGCACTCATTACTGCAGTATTATTAATACAAAAGAAAAGGTATTCAACAAATTGTATTTTAAAGAAATTTCCTATCGGAAGGGGGAAAACAAGTTGTGTTTACTGAATTATGCATGATAGGAGGGAGGTATGTTTAAGTGTTGGCCTAGTTATCTTTGGATTGCAGGGAGTTATATGCTATTATGCTTTACAGTTTTATGGCACTTCCCAAATTTTGACAAACTAATGTATTTTTTTTATAATTTTGAAACAAAAAATTTAAAGGAATCTCCCCAAGATAAACATATGTTTGGACACTAAATAGGATCATATTTCATCTCCATCATTTACTAGTTATGGGACATCTCTTAAATTACATCTTTGCATTTTAGTTTTCCAGCTGTAAATGAAAGGAAAAGCACATTTCTCATGACTTCATTAAGTCAATACTAGTGCTGTGGTATTTCCATAATCTCCCATAGTTTCCATGATTTCTGAGTGGAGGTTTTCCAAACACAACAAATGTGCCTGTGTGGAATATTTGCAGATCATATGCATACATTCCAGAAAACCCAAGAAGTGCAGTGTTAGGGAAGTGTGGAAACAATAGTCAGTCTAGGGCATTAGTTGAGGCAAATCAGCTCTCCAGGGGAGTGGATTGGCACAGTTTATAAGCTGGAGAAAGTGTTGTCTTTACCATATCATGCCACGTAAACATACCACTGAGTAAGGTACCTACAGACATACACAGCCCTCATATCCACCCTTCATACCCTTCTCAGCTGTCTGGAAGCTTCAGAAGGCACTTGTATTGGTAGTTTCTTAGCAATGGTCCTCAAGTACAATTGTCCCCAAATGAGTGTCCTTCTTCAGAATGCATGTAAGTCTGTCAGTATGTGGGGATCTTTGGACTGCTTGAATCCTTCTGAAACTTGGAGGGGCTTGTCTCAAAGGTACAGAGAGCTGGTCCCCTTTTAGTTTCTGCTGTTGGCTTTCTCACAATATTCTGACTCTTCCTTAGGGGACAGTTAAGTATAAGCTTCATATTCAAGGTAATCCTCAAGCTGATTATGATTACAAAAAGATGGGTACAACCCAAAGTTTCTTGTAAGGATAAGATCGTGATATATTAATCCTACAAAGAGCTTTTTTGAAAGCTGCCATTTGTTGCCAGGAACTGGTGGATGAGTCAGTGGTTTATTTACAAATCCATTCATCCAGCCTATATTGAGCAGCTTCTGTGGGGTTGCATTGTGCTAACCTTAAAAATCAACTGACCCCCAACATCATCACTCAACAGGAGATGACTGAGTAATGCCAGGTACTGAAAGGGCTCAGGCAGCATCTCTGACCCATTTAGGTTCAACCTTCAGAACACTGGTGCCCTGTCCTGTCCTCGCTCAGCTCAGAAGTCATTTATTTTTATTTTTATTTTTATTTGTTTATTTGAAGACAGGGTCGCACGCATCTCAGGCTGTCCTCAGACTCCTTGTGTAGCCAAGGATGACCTTTAACTTGTGACCATCGAGCTTCCACCTCCAGAGAGCTAAAGTTAGAGGCTCTATATGCCCCAATCCCCTAGTACAAGTGGTGATGGGGATTGAGCCCAAGGCTCAATCCAAACAAATTGAAATTTCATTTCCTGTACTTGAACTTTTTTTATGGAGATAGGCAACCCAGGATTAAAATCAAGAACTAATGAAATAAATCTGGAAAAACTCTCTAACTTCTCGGTGCCTCATTTTTATTAATCAGATAATTAATTAATTAACTTTGAGATAGGCTCTGACTCTGTATCCCAAGATGCTGTGGAAATCACTATGACATCCAGGTTGGTCATGAACTCAGGATTTTAATGCATCAGACTTCTAAGTGGTGGGATGACAGGTGTGTCACCACATTCAGCTTAATTTCCTCACTTTAGATGATGGGGCTGCAGACATTGCTCAAGGCTTAAGAGCACATCCTGTCTTGCATCTGACCCCAATCTGGGCTCTTAGTACCCATGTTTCATGGCTCAGCTTTACAGCTCCAGCTTCAGGAGATCCAATGCTTCTAGCTTCCTTAGGCAACTGTACTCATGCATGTACACACACATAATCCCAAAGAAAATACTTTTTAAAAACAGAAACATGGATGAGACTGTTAATAATAAAAAGAAACATGGATGAGACTACTAGTAATAATGTTTGATAGCTTTTTCTTTGTGACAGCTAAACATGTGAATTCATGTGCAGTGGTTAAGACAAGGCTAGATAAATTTGCTTTTGCATGTGTATATATGCATGTGCTTTCTTATGAGTGTGAAAGTACACACATGAATGCTGCTTTCTACTGTGGCTATACTTATTTGCCTTCCTAGCAGCTGCATGTAAGCCATCCCTTTCCTCCATGTTTTTGACTGCATTTACTTCTGAGTTAGCATGACATCCTGTGACAGCACATATTCAAAGAACAATTGCTCTTGTCAAGTATGGGTATTTATAATAATTTTATTTGCTACAGGAAATGGGAGGACAGATGGCAAATGGGCAGGGCAAAAGACAAACATTCACAAATTTAGTGAATAAATGGATAGAAAAGCATCAAGTATAAATCACAAACCAGAGATAGGCTGATGTCTCCTTTTTTCACGGACATAGTTGGTGTGTTGTACCTCAACAGCATCATTCCAAATTCCTTTTCAGCCTCCCTCTCATCGTTCTCTTTCTTTTCTCCTTCAGCACATATTAGTTATAAAAAATAATGGGTTACATTATGATATTTATGCACATGTGTGTGTGTGAGTGTGTGTGTGTGTGTGTGTGTGAGAGAGAGAGAGAGAGAGAGAGAGAGAGAGAGAGAGAGAGCATGTTGGTCTGTGGAGACTGAAGGACAAAGTCAAATATTATTTCTCAGTCCAGCTCACCTTGTTTTCTGAGTCAGTACTCATACTGACTTGGAGCTCACTCATTACTTTAAAATAGCTGGAGAGCAAGCCATGGGTAGCTACTTGACCCAGTCCAGCATTGTAATTACAAATGTGAACTGCCACACCTGACCTTTTTTTGGTAGATTCTGTGGCTTAAACATAGGTCCACATGTTTGAATGGCAAGCATTTTACCAGCTGAGCCATCCATCTCCCTCATCCCCTCATTGTGACATTTTCAAACATACATAAAATGCATTTTGGTTATAATCATGGCTCCATTACCCTCTTAGTTTCCTGGCTCCTTCCTTTCCCCCAATAGTCCTGTTTACATTTCCATTTTATTTTGTTTTACATTTTTAAATATAGGTCACATCAATATGACTATTCTGTAGTTCTTCAATGTCTTAAGCCAATAAAGAGGTGAACCTCATGATAGTTTTGTAGTAGTGCTCTACAGATGAGATCCTCACTCTTTGGAGTAAAAATGGAAGTCATAATATCCTATAGTAGATCCAGGTACCAGCAAATGCTGCCTTTAGGTATAAGACCCAAATTGAAAGTCACAGAGAATGATCCCTGAACTTGTAAAAGCTCTGGTCTTGGCACTAGCAAAATTGTCCTCAGCTTTTCAAAGATACTTCCTTTGGAAAAGCTGCTGTGTATATCCTCAGAATCTATTATCCATTTAGAGAGCACAGCACATCCACAGTGCCATCCCTAAAGCCCGCAAGAGATATAATGGAGGTGAAAAGAAGGCTGTTACATGGTAATTGTAGTTTTATAATGAGGGAACAATTTTCCCTAGTTCTCAGTGAGAATTATTTCAGTAGGATGCACCATGACACACAGAGAAAAATATAACCATTCTTCTTAACTACAGAACT